CACTGTGGGAGAGGGCCAACATAACAAGCCATTCTCAGCCCTAAATTATTATTTCAAGAATGATCAACTCACAGACAATGCCCTTCCAGCTAGTAGGAAAAGAAATGAGAAGTAACCAACGGATGCACCAACAAAAGCCTTGTCTGGAACAAACCAAAAATCCAATCAAGCATTACGAAGCATGCAAATTGATATTGGTCATTATCCGAGGAGTCCTATGGTGATCTGTGAATCATATCATCACGAGTGACATATAAGAAAGTGATCTTACCTAGAAACCATCCAACAAGAAAGGCCGCCAAAGCCACAAGAAACGCGAGAAAACAAACAACTAGCATTTGAACCCTTGTCGGATAGAAATTATTTGAGACCCAATAATGAATTGCACCGATAGGAAGGGTTGATTTTAAAAGAAAATAGGAAGTCCTAGTGGCTGGGAATTTAAGAGAAGCTGAAAAGCCTAAATACAAAGTCATACGGGAATAGACGGGTCGGCTAGAGGAATGTCCTCTAGAATTCGCCCTTGCATGCTTCACTACATCTCCAACCAAACGTCTAGAGGAATGTCCTCTAGAATTATCTCCTCCACGAGTCCTACCTGGACACCTTCCCTGTTAAGCTTCAACCTATGGCCGTTTACTTTGAAAATTTTGTTAGTAGCAAGGCTTCTTATATCAACAGCACCATGGTTATAAGCTTTAAGCACTTCATAAGGACCTATCCACCTAGATCTTAGTTTTGCAGGAAACAAATGAAATTTGGATTGGTAAAGTGAAACCTTATCTCCTGCCTCGAAAGATTTTCTGGTCAGTTTTGCATCATGGAATGCCTTGGCTTTTCCCTTATAAATTACTGAGTTATCATATGCCTCAAGCAGGATTTCTTCTAGTTCAGAGAGTTGTAATTTTCTTTCTCTACCAGCCTTATCATATTCTAAATTAACTGTCCTGACAGCCAAGTAACTCTTATGTTCAATCTCAACAAGTAAGTGACACGCTTTCCCAACAACTAACCTATAAGGGGACATGCCTATTGGTGTTTTAAATGCAGTCCTATAGGCCCATAAGGCCTCATCTAGCCTTAAACTCCAATCTTTTCTATCGGGTTTGACTATTTCCTCCAAAATCCTCTTTAATTCTCGATTTGAAACTTCAGCCTGGCCATTTGTTTGTGGATGGTAAGCTGTGGAAATTTTCTGAGTTATGTGATATTTTGAAAACAGTTGGGTCAGGACTTTGTTGCAAAAATGAGTTCCCCTATCACTGATGAATGCCTTAGGCACTCCATACCAGTTAATAATCAGACTTTGAGCAAATTTAGCTACTGTTTTGGCATCATCAGTTTTGGTAGGAACTGCTTCAACCCATTTTGAAAGATAATCAACAAATAAGAGAATATAAGTGTTTCCAAAAGAATTGGGAAAAGGCCCCATAAAGTCCATACCCCAAACATCAAACAATTCACAAACAAAAATGGATTTCAGTGGCATTTGATCTTTTTGAGAAAAGCTTCCAGTTTTTTGACATTTAGGACAACATTTACAAAATTCAGCACTATCCTTATATATTGTAGGCCAATAAAAACCACATTCAAGAATCTTATGGGCTGTTCTTTGAGGTCCTAGATGTCCCCCACCCTCTAAAGTGTGACAAAAATGCAAAATTGAATTTATCTCATAATCTCCTACACACTTTCTTACCACTTGATCAGAGCACATTTTCCACAGGTATGGGTTATCCCAAATGTAAAACCTTGCTTGAGATTGAATCTTTTCTCTTAATGAACTAGGCATTCCAGGGGGAAAGGCTCCCGTGACTATGTAGTTTACAATATCAGAAAACCAAGGAACATGAGAATCAAAGTATAAACTCTCATCTGGAAACGTTCCAGTGAAAGGGTCTAGATTTTCTTTATTGTTCTCTATCCTACTGAGGTGATCAGCCACCTGATTCAACCTTCCTGCCCTATCTTATATTTCATACTGAAACTCTTCCATCAACAAAATCCATCTAATCAATCTTTGCTTAGTGTGTTGCTTCTTTATTAAGTATTTCAAAGCTGAATGATCAGTGTAAATGATTATCTTAACTCCTAACAGGTATATTCTATATTTCTCAAGAGCAAAGATTACAGCATACATTTCTATCTCTGTTGTGGTGTAATTTCATTGTGCTGGGTCAAGTGTAGTACTAGAATATGAAATCACATGAGATTGGTTCCCATATGTTTGCCCCAAAACAACCCCAACTGCCCAGTCACTTGCATCACACATTAATTCAAAGGGGTAAGCCCAATTAGGTGGCTGCATTATGGGGGATGAAGTGAGTTTTTCTTTTAAAAGATCAAAAGATTGTTTACATTTCTCATCAAAAACAAATGGGGTGTCTTTTGAAAGCAAAGCAATGAGAGGCAAAGCTATTTTGGAAAAATCTTTAATGAACCTCCTATAGAACCCAGCATGGCCTAATAGAACCCAGCATGGCCTAAAAAAGATCTAATGTCTTTCAGATTTTTGGGGTAAGGAAGTGTTTTAATAATGTCCACTTTTGCTGGATCAACCTCCATCCCTTCAGAAGAAACCACATGACCTAGTACTACCCCTTTCATAACCATGAAGTGACATTTTTCAAAATTCAGCACCAAATTAACTTCAATGCACCTTTTAAAAACTAAAGTTAGGTTATGTAAGCATTCTTCAAAACTATTTCCATATACAGTAAAGTCTTCCATAAAAACTTCCATGATTTTAGAAGAAAATTCGGTGAAAATACTCATCATGCATCTTTGAAATGTTGCTGGTGCATTGCATAAACCAAAAGGCATTTTCTTAAAAGCATATGTTCCAAAAGGGCAAGTGAAAGTAGTCTTATCTTGGTCTTGTGGGGCAATGGGTACCTGTAGGTATCCTGAATAACCATCGAGGAAACAATAGTGTGACTTTCCTGCCAATCTTTCAACCATTTGGTCAAGAAAGGGCAGGGGAAAGTGATCTTCTTTAGTGGCTTGATTAAGTTTCCTATAATCTATGCATACTCTCCAACCACTTTGTGTTCTAGTGGGAATTAATTCTCCTTGATCATTCACTACCACTGTTGTTCCTCCCTTTTTAGGCACTACGTGTATTGGACTCACCCGCTCAGAATCAGCTATAGGGTAAATGACATCTGCCTCAATCCATT